GAGGAGAAGCCACCATCACCAGCGGCGGTGTTGGTGTTGTTGTTGTGGGGGTGGAGGTGGAGGAGGGAAGGGAAATTGGTCTTGGCCTTGGAGCCGCGGAACTCACGCGCCGCCGTGTCGTATGCACGGGCAGCGTCCTCGGCGGTGTCGAAGGTGCCGAGCCAGACACGCGTCTTCTTGCCGGGATCCCGGATCTCGGCGGCGTAGCGGCCCCACGGACGCTTCCTCACCCCCCTGTAACGGATTTCCTTGGAACTCGCGGTCGGATTCGGACCGACCGGGTTGGGTCTCGGACCCATCTTCGCCATCTCGATGAGCGAATGATGATGGTGGTGGTGGAGATATATGGGAAGAGGAGAAGAGGAGGAGAAGGGGCGTTTATATAGGGGGAGAGAGAGAGAGAGAGTAAAGGGATGCTGCTTTTGGGGAGGGGCTTTTGTTGTTGTTGTGAACAGTCAAAGCCAACAAGTTTAGCGGCTTCTCTTACACGAAGCGGTTTTCGCGTTTTCTTTCTTACACCCACTCGTCTCTCGCCACGTGTCCCCTTCCCTCCTTATCCAACGTGCCCTTTTCGCTTATATTATTAATATAATATAATGTAGTACGTGTCATTACGTTGATGTATATTTAATGTCCTGCAAATATAAACGAATGGGCCTTTTTAGTTTTTTTTTTTTTTTAATCAAGCTTTCATTGTTTTTCTTTTTCCGGATTTGATTTCGATATAATTTCTTATAGTAAAAAGATTTTATCCAAAATCAGTATAAATGCTATTCCTTTTCAATTCTTTCGGTGAAAACTACATTCCAAATAAAAATGAATACATTGACTGATTAAATATTAAAGACCGGTACGATACAGATTTGGGTTAGCTACATGAATTTTGTAACTTGCAACAATTCTTAAAATTTAACAGCTCTTGCAAGTAACTGTTTACAAATATGATTGATGAAATATTTCTCAAAAGCTACCATCGCCATTTTCCCTTTAACTCATTTTATCACTAATTTTCTAAGACTTTAACTTTTTCGTTTTTTTAATAACCGATTATCTTTAATCAATATTAAAATTAATTTCAAAATAAAAGATCAGTCATGTGATTTAGAATATATTATATTTTTTCAAAATTGAAATTCGAACTCGGAATGATATATACGTTTTGCATCTTCATTTTATGAGTTGAACTATCCAAATTTGGGTATAATGTTATTGTTGTTATGGTTTTCTTTTCATATGACTGCATATTTCTTATGAACGAACCGAAATAGCTAACCCTAATCAATTTTACCTAACTCGTGAACAAATGAGACATGGTTCACAACTACAACTAAATATGATATAAAAAAAAGTCATCATAAATTTATATTTCAATGTAAGATTTGTATTTTAAATAATCAAATATAATCCTACACAAACAATTTAATTATCTAAATTCAATAAAAAAAATTAATTTACATATATAACTAAAACCTCGAATGAGAGCTGGATTAAGGGTTGAACGTGTGACCACAAAACTTTATAAGAAAACGTGTAACCACAAAAACCTTAGTGATTTATCTCCAATACAAAAGTAAAAAGTACATGGCTATATAGACCTATATATGGATAATAAATTTAGTTAATTCGTATCCTTATTTCATACATTTTTTGTGTTGATTTTGACTCATATGCAAGGAAAATTAACAGTTTCCATTAGGATAAATCTTTTTTCATGTAATAAAATGTCAATAATAGTAGGAGTGGAATCGGAAATTTATTTTATTAGAAATACTGTTAATATTGTAATATACATAATAAAATATTAAAAAAATTAAGATGAAGTTGAGAGCCATGCAGTCCTACCACAACAATTGGAATGGCCCATGTTTTTAACATTTGCAAGAAGTATAATATAGTTTTTATTGATTAGCTCTATAGTGGTTCCATCAGTCCATATTCTGGGAGGATTATATAATTTTATTGGAACTAAATTCCAAGATTATTTTAGTAAAAAATATATTTTACCAAAAATAAAAGATGGTTTAATAAAAATTAGAAATTAAAGTTTTGAGGATATAAAAACTATATACTATTTAATTTCTAAACACGAGAGAGAAAAAAAAGCATAGAAAGGACTCGGAAGTTACAAAAGACGTTCGGATTTAAATAAAATAAAATAAAATAAATACCAGCGCCGAATGAGAAACAGTGAGAAACGGGCTTTTGGTGTGACGCCGAAAAAAGGGAAAGAAGAAGCCCAAACGTGGCAAATCGTGAGGACGCGCGGCTGAGGAACCGCGTTTTCAGTTTAAGCGATCAACAACGGCGCACGAGCGGCACGCGTTACGCACGTGCCATCCCACACGCGCTGTTGCGTGACTTCCTCAACTCGACGGCCTTTGACTGCTTTTTTCCTCAGCGACAAGTGGACCCCACACTCCCACCTCCCCCGACTTTTCAATTTCAATTTGCTTTGATCTGAGAATGCCACGTGGTCAACGGGACACCTGGACAACGATCAACAGTTCATAGAGATGCGCCGCGCATCGGTTCTAACGGCGGCGCCTCCGCCGTCAAGTGTTTGGTGCGGTTTTGTCTGTGTTTTTTCTCCTAAAAGACGGAATTTTACTTGACGGCAGGACTTAGAACTGGATTAGTTCAACTTAATTTTGATTAGTAGGTTAATTATCGTTTAATTACGTGTTTCCTTGCAACGACAGGTACAATCTGTCTACACGCCGTGGAAAAAGCATAAATTTTGGATTAATTAATTACCAACTGTAATTAGTGCCTTGACCACGTATCCTTTTCTTTTCTGTTTGCCCAATAAGCAATCGGAATGTCGGATTTTTCTCCACTGAAAAAGTGTGCGTATTTTTTCTTTTTACCATTTCTTGTCCTAACCGAGAATTCATATCGTCCTTTCAAATCGGGTGGTCCATAATCCATGTAGATCTCTATAGTATACAATATAGAATTGTTCACGTAGATCATTCAGTTCTGAGCGAATATTCTGTATTAACATTTCAATGGAACAACCCAAATTAATTTTTGTTTATTGATCTACAATTAATTACTTATTATTTAGCGAAAAAAAAAATGGAAGATAACACGGATAATATAATAATTAAAAAAAAGGAAATATTTGAGCCGAATATGGGCTTGGGCTTGGGCTTGGGCTTGGGCTTGGGCTTATCTTGACCTATAATGGGAAGCTTTTATGGGCTCATTGAATTCCAAGAATCTGACAATATCAAAGGCTTTTTTTTCTTTGCTTTTCCTGTCGTCATCTTTCCAAAATTGGAGAGAGAGAGAGGAGAGATCGGCAGCGGAAAAAATGGCGGAGATAAAGAGCGTGGCGGTGATCGGAGCCGGGCAAATGGGTTCGGGTATCGCGCAGCTCGCCGTCACGCACGGCCTCGATGTTTGGCTTCTCGACACTGATTCACACGCTCTCTCTCGAGCCACTGCCTCCATATCCTCCTCCGTTCAACGCTTGGTCTCCAAAAGCCAAATCTCCAAGGCAAGATCACTCCGATTCATTCAATCCAATCCCACTCTCTGTTTGTTTCTTGAGAAAATAGTTCCTGGGTTCTTCGCTCTGTAGATTCTTCATGGCTTTGCAGTGGAGAGATTATGATTAGGAAGTTTGTCACTGAGTGGAATGAAGAAATTCCAGCGTTTTCTGTTTTGTTTTCCGGGAAACTAGTTTCAGGGTTGGTTTATATGATTGATCCATCTCACGTGCTAATGTAATTTTGTTTGATTGATTCTAGAGGAATTGGCAAATGAAATTCGAAAGATCAGAGCTTTTTCCAGAGTAGATTTGAGATTATGAAACTCGAGAGGTGGTTCTATGCTGCAGGAAGTTGGTGCTGATGCTATGCGACGACTGCGTTGCACATCGAATCTTGAAGATCTACATTCTGCAGATATCATAATCGAAGCCATTTTGGAATCTGAAGACATAAAGAAGAAGCTGTTCTCAGATCTTGATCGCATAGCCAAGAGTTCCGCCATCTTAGCATCCAACACGAGCTCCATATCCATAACTCGTCTTGCATCTGCGACACAGCGACCTAGCCAGGTCGACCCTCAATTGCTTTCTTTAATTGTTCAGTGGGCTTCAAGTCTAAATATGATCCGACCAAACCACATGGGCATTGCTTCATTTGTAGGTCATCGGCATGCATTTCATGAATCCACCTCCGTTGATGAAACTTGTCGAGATCATTCGAGGTGCAGACACGTCCGAAGAGACTTACACCATGACAAAATCCTTGGCTGATAGGTTGGGTTATCTCGAAAGGAAGGATTACTGATTGCATGAGTACGTATAGATTGACTCAATCATTCCCTATTGGGTTTTTCCCCTGCAGGTTTGGCAAGATAACCGTGTACTCGCAAGACTACGCAGGCTTCATTGTGAACAGGATCTTGATGCCGATGATCAACGAGGCGTTCCACACGCTTTACACGGGAGTGGCTACAAAGGAAGACATCGACATGGGAATGAAGCTCGGAACAAACCATCCAATGGGTCCTCTGGAGCTGGCAGATTTCATCGGTCTGGACATATGCTTGTCCATAATGAATGTTCTTCACAAGGGTCTCGGAGATCCAAAGTACGTGCCCTGCCCTCTTCTCGTTCAATACGTGGATTCTGGAAGGCTCGGCAGAAAACGTGGGATCGGTGTTTACAACTACAGTAGATCTCCGAAATCGTCTCCTCGGCTCTGAGAAGTGACAAGTAAAATCTTCATCCCTTTTGGGCAATTAAAACATGAAGAAACCTTGGCTGGAAAGGCAAGAAAAGCGGCGGCATGGTCACTGTCTTGTGGTTGTGTCTGGTTTCTTGATCCTGTTGTTTCTTGAACAAGCTCAACAGTTATCTGGTTTCAAGAAGTAATAAATAAATAAATAAATAAATTTAGTTTCTCAAAATTATGTTAGAGATTAGATTTTTCGTACGGATTCTCCCTGTTTAGTGGATGAAACTGCAGATGGCCAATGAAATCTATGATGGGTCTAAATGGTCAAACTCATAACTTCTGTTTTTTTATAGAATTTGAGAAACCATTTCCTTGATTTTGTAATCTATATTCCATCAAAACTATAAAAATAAAATATATGCAAGGGAAAAATAACTTGTTGGGTCAACTCGTGCGCAGTTAATTTTATTGGTAAATTTCACCAGATAACCTATATATTGACTAGTAAAATATAGATAAATTGATATAATGATTATATAAAATTATGAAAAGAGCGAAATTGGTAACCAACGGACGTGATCGTTGTGCTCTTTTTGTTTAGTTGTGGAAACTATTTTACTCTACAATTCTCTCACGTTGCCCTCGAAAGAACAAGCTTTTTGGGCCCAAAATTGAGAAATTGGTTTTATGGGCATGTTTTCGAAAATAGTATAAAGATGCGGGACTTAAAAAGTTTAAAAAAGAAATTACAGTGAATGTAAATTATAAACAGATCGCCCTCTCTCTCTTCAATTAGATTCCTCCGGTGAGACAGTGGAAGAAGTCACCGGAAAAAGCGGGAGGAGCTGCGACTCTGAATCCCGCGGCGTAGGAATCTGCGATGGGTGCAGATAAAAGCCCTTCTCCGCAATCGCCCTCTCTTCCTCCGACAATGGCGGCATCTTATCCAGCGGGTCTCCTGTCTGGCGTAATCCATCGTTCTTCACCGGCGTCACCGGGCTGTTCAGACCCAGCCTCGGGAAATCCAGACAGCTAGGCGACAAAACATCCGGATTCCTCGGCGACAGTCCGCCGATCATGAGGGTGTTGATCATGAAGCTGTTCTTGAGGTTGTGCCTCCTCTCGTAAAGCTTGAACCCTGCCTGTTTCTTCGGCGGCGCCGTCTTGACGGGAGGAATTACGAAATTGCCCTTCCCGGAGGATGAATCTGGGGATCTGGGGGAGGAGGAGCCGGTAAGCATCTGGACGACGTGTTTGAAGGAGGAAGTGTCGGCTTGGACGAAGGTTGTCGGATGATGATCAGATCTGGTGATGAAGCTGTTGTGTAGAGATCCAGTGACATTGATCGAAGAAGAAGATGGCTTTCTGGAATCTTCTGGTTTCGATGAACTCTCCGCCGACATATCCATTTTCCGAAGCTTCTTAGATTGAGTGAGTTATGGTTTCTAAGACTCCATTGGACTCTCTCTCTCCTCTATATTTGTCGTGACTCTCTTTGGATCTCTCTTTGAGGTTTGGGATTATAAGAAAAAAAAAAAGACAATTATTTTTATTAGGCAATTTTAAATATATCTACAAAAATATTTCCTATTTTATTACTATTGCTATAGCTAAATTATATTCATCTACATTGAAATAAAACAATGATTATTTAGAAAATTCATATACTGCATTTTGAAAAGTTATTTTTCTAATTATGTTAGTAATTCAATCTTTCTCAATTTTTAATATACATATGATTTCGATCCTTTTTGTGTATATATATGTATTGTTAGACCATAATTTCGTAGTTTGTAAAACTTTATTTTTTTCGAATTAAGAGTATTCCTAATATCTAATATCTGATACTATTTAATTAGTGGAGGAGTATAATGCAAGGGATACCGCTGAATAAAATGTAAATGCAATGATTTTTTCAAGAATTAAATATAAAGGGGGGGGGGGGGGGACAAAAAT